CACAAAAATTTTGAGGCAGTGTGGTAATGGGCCCTGTTGTAGCTACCACAGGAAAAAAGTTGACTCGCAAGCTTGAAATTGACATGTACCCAGAGATTCAATTTTATATCTGGCCTCAGCCCACAAGTCAATTTGTACGTCAGTTCTCATTTCAGGCTAGAACTTAACGAGCTGAACTATGAAAAATTAATGCTAAGTCAAAGTTCATTTAAATAGCTTGTGAGTTGACTCAGGATTGAACGACTTGTGACTGACTTGTGTTGACTTGCGACTAAAAGGCCTCACAAAGTAAGACCATGCATATCTCACCTCCCAGGTCATATGTATGAATGGGAACACAGCCATGAATATCCTGCGCAGTCTATGACGTTCCTGCCACTGTGGCCTGTCTAGAGCCTCGTCTCGCCACCTCTCAAACAAAGCCTCTAGTTTCAGCTTCAGGTATGGTACCAGTACCTGGAAGAGTGTCCAAATATTTTGTGACACCTCATGTGAGTTTATCAATAGACACCCGTTTACAGAATTTATCAGCACAGTTTGGACTGCAAGCTATGCAACGCTGCTTTTCAATGCCATACAATGGGACAGTCTGTCTTAAGATGGACATAAAATTAGCAGACTACATATACATGCATTTGTGAAAAATGCGTTCTTCTTTTCCTCAAGCATGCATGCTGAACTGAAAGACTTGCTTCAGTTTTCATTTGTCTCTTTCCTTGCAGCTTCCTATGTTGCACGCTCCTCATGAGGTTTCCCTCTTTTCTACTTATCACAACATTCTATTTTTAAATTTTTCCAGATATTTTGCTTTTTCTTTCATCTCTTCTGCTCATTTGCTGTTCTTTCTTTACACACTTCTTTGGGGATGATCTAAGTTTCTCTTCTCCCTTCTGCACGGAAGTGTGATTAGCCCATTTGGCTTCTTCAGTTTCCAACTGCTTCCCCTGGGCTCTTCATCTTCTGAGATGGTGTACAAAAGTAACTAAGGAGCAGAGAATCTGCCATGAAGCACTGACATACCAGACACAGCAGAGATCTAACATGCTGCCATGCCTGAAGGCCTTGTGTGGTGCTCTGAGGAGGATCTGTAACAACTGCAGGAACTCGCTTCAGACTGTAGAAATTCTCAGCAAAAGATGCACCTTGGAAAATCAAACAGCTGAAGCTTAGAAGGTATCAACGCTTGAGACTTTAACTTATTAACTGCCAAACTGACTTCAAAGTTTTTAAACTTGGTCAAGTAGGTATAAATACTGAAAATGTTGCTGTACCCTATAAACTTGGTGCACTTTGATTTGTTGTCTCCACGTCCTTGCTAGAACAATATTTTTAATTGCCCCCTAAAATGCTCCCCCCCCAAAAAAATGATTTGCATATATTCTTGTATAAGTAGTTTGGTATGTGAGTGAAGGTAATGATCAGTGTTGTATTTGAGTCTATCACAAGTCCACCACAAGTCCATCAGAAGTCCATCAGAAGTCATTCAGTCTTATGCAAATTCAAAAACTATTCAAATGAGCTGTGACAAGAGTATTCCTTTGTCATTGTTCATCCTGTTGCTTGTGACTGTGACTGGCCTTGTGAAGGGACTTGTGACTGGACTTATGAAGGGACTTGTGACTGGACTTGAGACTGGACTTGTGACTGGACTTGTGAAGGGATTTGTGAAAGGACTTGTGATGGACTCAAATACAACACTGGTTATGATTTACCAGAATTTATCTACTTTAGTGGAATTCTTACATGGTAATGTGGGATTTTTTAGATTTGTTCAAGTGTGCCACGTTAGGGAACACTCAAGCCGAATTTGTGTCCAATTTCTGGACCCCACCGTTTTTGAATTTCAGACAAAATTTCACAACACTGAAATCGTTCACCAAACTTCAACAGCATGCATTTTGAAGTTAATAGTACCATCATTTAACTGAATAAATTTGAACTTTTTCAGTGAAGAGGTTTGACAACAATGCATGAGGAATGTTGAGGGTAGCCTCAAAGTGCACCACGCTAGGTGACTCTACTGTAACTTTGGCAATAACCTTGAGTAATTAGCAAAGTAACTATGTATTTAGCACTGTATAAAAGGTTCCACGACCAACATCTGTTAGTTGGAACCTTTTATGCTGTCTGTGTTTTTTTTCCTAATATCTACACACGAATTTATGCTTTGCACCTGATTCCAATCAAATTCATCAACTGGTTTATCCATTCCATAAATTCATGCGATCTCTATTTTAAAAAAAGACATGCTTCACAATACATGACAATACATGTGGGGTGCATTGATAACGCAGAAATACCAACAAGAGGGCCTTACTTCTTGTACTCAAGAAATGATGCTGCAGTAGAAGATCCAGTGATGAGTAGATTTCACCAGAGTATCTGTAGAGGACACCATATTGGACTGGATTGTGATCTGCCAGAATCTGAACAACAGACACAAAGAGAATGATTAATTTAGGGGCACTCAGCCAGGAGGAGTTTGGGGTCACTAGAATAAATCACTTATGATCTAATGCACTGAAGTCAACTGCACTAATCTTAACCAGAATTCCTGAAAATCCGAATCGAATCTGTATTGGAATGAAAGCAAGTGATAATAGCATGTAGAGGGCACCCTTGATGGCTACTGCACCCATAATTTGATTCTGATGCGAATCTTGTTCTGTGTTGAACTACAGTGTTCTTATCAGCAAGGGATCATCCCCAGTCAGGGGAGGCAAGCTACTGTTGCCCCACTCCCCAAGACTAATGGGTCAATTTGGAATAAATTGCACCCTGTGTCACTGTTTATTATAAGCCCTGACCATTTTGCAAAATCGGCTGAGACATTTATTCCTCTAGGACACTGGGACATTATCTTATTACTATATTAGAGTATGCTGGGCCAGTATGGAATGCCAGGCTAACTACAAAAAGAAAAGAAAAAACGATGGATTCCAAAGTCTAGAAGCGTGCCTTAGAATTATTCTGGGTTCAACCCATAGGTCATATTAAGAGGCCCTTGATAAATTGAATTTATGTACCCTATAGCAACATAGTAAAGATATCTGCGTAGCATTTGCCACTGAGCTAGGGGAAACAAACAGGTTCAAATATAACTACCTAAACATAAGGCATAACTTAAAAGACAAACACAAATACATGTAATGCTGAATTTTTATTTAACTGGCCTCCTAAAAATACGACAAGTGCTGAAACCAGCAACATTTAAAATAAGTAAAACACAGCCCCCACTCCCCTTGACAAGTACCTTGTTCAATCCACTATAACTGGTCAGTTGAAAATTTGAAATTGCACTTGGGTATATGGTGAGCACGTACGGATGATCCTTTAAAATTCCCTTTAGTGCGCCCTTTGAAAGTAAATTCATGGTAGTCTCTGTTAATTATCTATTTTTAATTAACTTATTTATTTAAACATATTTTAACTTTGTATTGTGGAATTTGATAAAGTCTTCCAATGTTTATAGGTTCATTAAAGCAAAATTGACTGATTTAGCCATTCACTTCAAATTCAATTGAAATGAACCAATAATGATCAAAAAAAATAATAATACCATATATGGCAATAGAACACAAAGTATTCTCATATTTGCCGGATGGATGTAATCTTTCCAAAGATTAGGTAAGAAACAAAACAATGACATAACAAAAAACAAACCCAAATCACCTTGATCAAGTATTTCAATGCTGGTCTGAGTGTAGCCATCAAACTCTCTTGGGCCAACACTTCAAAAAATGACGGCCTGTCACTGGTGGTGGCTGAAGTCAAGTGGGCACCATATTCTGCCATGATTGTGCCGGACTGTATAAACCTGCATAAATCGCTAATGCAAAAGAGAATTGATCACTGAAATTTCATTTATTTGTAAAAGAAATGTCCTTTATACAATTCTCCCACATATACATGTAGTTTCATCGTTTTCCTGTATTTCTGTTGCAATTCTTCGAATTTTTATGAAAAATAATCTACCTCTGAGAAGCTTAAAAAATGCAATGCCTGGGAAAAGAACACAAAAGCTGGGAAAAATTCCATATACAGATCAAATCCTATGACACTGGTCTGAAAAATTTGAAGTGTTTTCTGCATAGGCCTACGTGTATATAGGCCTACAATATTTTTCACTGTTAAATATGACTTTTACTTTTAGACTCAAACCTGTTTAGGACATTTTATTACTTTCAGATGGCTAATACTTGCCTACTATCAGACTACTTTACAAATACAAGGCCTACATGTAGGTCACTGCAGGGAAAATTAGTAGTGTCCTAGTATGGTTCGAGTAACTTGGACCCTACAAATTGCCTTTTTTGTAGCGTCCAAGCTAAAGTTACTACGAGCATCTCGGAGTCGGACTAGTCTAGTAGTGGTTTCCGTACATGCCATATAATTATAGCCCAGGTGGACTCCCTGACGGTACTATGTCAGTGCTAGTTGTAATGAACTGAAGACAACGCCCAGCCGTGGCATGCTGGGCTAATGCAGTATAAGCCTACTACATCATACATGGCATGCATGACGTAGCCTGTTCTGTAGGCCTGGCTATTCTCTCTCTCAACAGTGGGAGGGCTAGGGGGTGCCCTAACTGACTACACCAACAAACGAGGCTGACATAGGCGCTTTTTTACCTGCTCGAGTTGTTTTACTATAATACCAATAGAAAAGTGAAAAAAAATGATAAGTGGAAGGACAGGCCTAGGCCATTGAGGAATAAAACACATGCCCCACGAACGCTTATCACGGTCTCGATCTCATTAGTTCGGTCATGGAGGATGGTTTGGTGTTTGAAACGCCAAGCACCAGCTGGCTGAATGCAAAAGATGACATAATACTGTTTCCACTGCGTTTCCCAAAATTTTTATTATAGTTATCATAGCCTACCTGTGATCTATTTATTTTAAAAATAAATTAAAAACTGCTTCTTGCAATTGTTGCATGTTTTTCGGTGGCAGACGATTTTAGTGCGTACATACTGGTATCCGTGATTTGTACGGTTTTTTGTGTGAGAATACTTCAAGGGACCAGTGGAAATGCATGCTGGGTGATCGTCGTGGGGAGCGCCATCTTGTCTTACGCCGACAGTCAGAAGTGAATTTGCCCAAGTAATCGTCCGTCTTCCGAAAAATTGTCCTTTGTTTGGCAAGTTTTGCTTTACGTAAGTTTCATATATAGCTTTTCACAAATAAGTGTTTTTTTTTTATCGAACAAAGCCCCCACTGTGCTGTATTTTTAATTCAGTTTTGACCGAAAGTAGCGTGTGTAGCTGTGCACTGTAACCGCCCACTTCCCAAGTTAGGTTTTACATACTTAGTGAAGGCAAGCATAGGCCTAGGATGTACTACACCAAATACGCGCCCATAGAAAACAGTGCAAAATCTGACCGAAATAGCGCCGCCTGTTGACTCTCGTGAAGAGGTTGGCCTCCGTTTTTTTACTGGAAATTCAAGATTATGGCCAGAAGATAATTTTCGTTTCAATTTCATGGGCTGATGAGGGTTAGCCACGAAAAACTAAGCTCTCATTTCTGAATGTAACCGCCCACTTCTATCCAAAAATAGGCCCGCAATTTGGAGCTTTTTGTGAAAGAAATACCCCGAACTGGAAACTATCAGTCCCAAATTCGGGACTTATTACAGAAATATATCTATGATGCCTCCTGATTATGGCATGTCTTATTGTAAAACCCCGTGGGATCACAACATATTAATGAGCTCACGTGCAGAAATACAACCATTTGGTGGAGTGCTCCCCTAGGGCCTACGTGTAGTTTAGGAAATTTAGACAGGTTTCCGTCTACTTTTGTTGCACCATTCTGGTGCATTAGAAATGGGAACCAGACCAGCTTACAACAAATGGATCTCCTTATTCTCAGACTTTATTTCCCTGAATTTCAAAATGAAATCCTAGCTAGGCCTAAACCCCCAGTGAGTCTACCAAAGAAGAAAAAGAAAAGTATTATTAAGGCCTGCAGATTACAATGCAGGCCCTACAACAACCCCTGAACTGTGGGGGTTTGTGGGACTCGGAGTACAGCAGGCGATTGTGGGAGCATGCCGGATGATCAGGAACCCCTGTTCTAGGGGGAACCGGTCCTAATGTGCATGACCGTAGCATAGTTGCGAGTTAGCTAATTTCATCACCTTGGCCTATTCAGGCTATATTCATGTCTGATGGCAAAATTAGGGACCTGGCAACTGTATGGTCATGCACGTTAGGCTTAACATCAATGAACGTGTAGTTGAAGAGTCCCTAATTTCGCTACCTACATGACCTAGGCCTACACGCAGTATTGTCAGCATGATCAGATGATAAAGTCTGATTGGTTTTCAAAGTAGGCCTTAGTGGTGATGTTCAGCGCAATCTTTGAAAGTGCACAAATTTTAAATTTGTGCAACTTGTGCAATTTTTCTTGAGCAATTTTTATTAGGTTGCGCATATTTTAAATCTGCACGGATAATGTTGAGTGCAATCTTTGATGGTTAGCGTTTGAGTAGAAGCTAGGATTCCAGCACAAACTAGTAGTTTTGGGGGTCGTTGCAAATTCCTTATATTCCCTGATTGTTATTTATTTTGTCTGGGATCCTTTGCAAATATATTCCTGATTAAATCATATAAGGCTCTAAGACTTTCCTGTTTTAAAAATCAATGGGAATTGAATTGCTCGCACAAGGAATTTTTTGCGGAGGGAAGCAAAGTCCGAATGAAACGTCCTCAGGAGAATTTAATTGCTCTCACATGGCAGTATTGATCAATACGCTTGAATGGTGAAATTTCTCATGGCCAGCCGGTGTGATGCATGTGCTACCGTACCCTGGTCCCACAAGTACATGCCACACTCAACATGCGGCACACACGTCACATGAAACAGGCTCAACAAAATCATGCCAAATGTGTAGTGTATGTCAGTCTCTTTTAAGTACGACTGTTGCCTGTGGTTCATGTATCCTAACAATTTTTATGGCAATATCTGTGGATGTGCAAAATTTACAAATTGGGTGTGCATATTTTAAATTTGCGCACTTTCAAAGATTGCATTCAACAGCGAGATAAAGGACCTGGCAACTATAGACGTTTTCCTGTGATGTCACAATCGTGCTGGACCACGATGTGTTGTTATGGTAATGGGTGGATAGTGTTGCGATGGTAATATACTTAATTCAAGATAAATTGGTCGAGCATGCAGCATTCACACGTGTGCTTGTACGTGGTTGAAGCTGCCCGTAGGACTATATTGCGATCACCGTGGCCTTGGTGGTCCACACATGGTGGAATTGTTTACATATAGCCCAATCCAGTGATGTGGGCGAAAAAGGTCTATGTGGTCATGGATGTTAGGTCTCTCTCAAATGATTTCACTTCCTATAGATTGCCACTTTCATTGGCTTTGTGGTCTTCATATTTCCATATTCCACATTAGCTGCATTGTATTTGAAGCGTTGAAAACACTTTGATCAATATGTAGGGGTATATGGAGCATTTGCATGCTGTGAGCACATGCACCTGTTGGTGTTAAATACACAGTTGTAGGCTTAATTTTTCTTGAAAAAAATGGTGTCCTAGGAGATAGATCTATATGGAAAGTAAACATACAATATGACGGAAAAGATAAAGAAACAAAACTGAAAAAAAGACATGGAGCTGGGCAACCCAGAATGATGAACTTACTATACAGCATGCATACCAATTGGGCCAGCATACCACATTGATAGATGGCAATTGAAACTTTACATAGATATAGATTGGCAAAGTATTTGTTCAAGGGCATACTGTAGAATTTGGAAGTCGCATGACAGTTACTGTAATTATAGCCGACCGGTTTTAAGCAAAAAAGTACATGCCCACTTACACGTGAGAATAGAGTTTCCTGTTTTGTATCTGTTGCACAGGTGCACAGGTGAAGAATAGGGATCACAGAATAGGGATCACAGGACAAGATGACGGACTCCAAGTACTTCACCACCACCAAGAAGGGTGAGATCTATGAGTTGAAGGCAGATCTCAACAGCGATAAGAAAGAGAAGAAGAAGGAAGCTGTCAAGAAGGTCATAGCCAGCATGACCGTGGGTAAAGATGTCAGGTAAAGATCTCAGCTGATCTAAATGAAAATCCTCCAAACCTTATATTTTATTCACATTTATTTTACTTCTCAGAAGAAAAAGTGATGGTTTAAACAGGAAGAGATCAGAAACCGAGCCCCTCAGTGACTTTTTAATCAAGATGTACCATCTTGTCACAGCTCGCTGTTTCCTGATGTGGTGAACTGCATGCAGACAGACAACCTGGAACTCAAGAAGCTGGTGTACCTGTACCTGATGAACTATGCCAAGAGCCAGCCAGATATGGCTATCATGGCCGTCAACACGTTTGTCAAGGTAAGTCACGGCTCTTCCCTGGTTGACTAATTGGACCGTGGCTTGGGATTTTGGTATGAGCGGACTCCTGTGATCATTCTTAATCACGGGCAAAACTGCCCAAATGAGATACGGCCAAAGATGCAGATTCCAAGACTTCTCCGAGTCGCACAGTGGATTGTAAAGATCAGTCCTGTAGTCTTATTTCTGCATGATTAGAGATGAGTGTTTCCGGCACCAATATTGCCATCTGTTTTTTGCAGTTCCAACTTTAAGGATGAATGAACCTCATTTGAATGATACAAATTTTGAAGGCACAGGTAAGTTAGTGTGACTGCTCAAGGCAAGCACTCTGAAAGCAGGCATGCAACTTATTTTCTGATCAACCAATTTTTTCCTTTTTTTTTACTCCACTTGTTCTTTTTACAGCCGTTGCAAATTGAAAATATGGTATAAACTCTTATGAGTATTCAAATTCCCCCTTTTTTCTCTTAATTTAACGCCCATTTGCATGCCTGTGAACGTATGGAGTTTTGTAAGTATTCTTATCCTGATACATGTATACCAGTTGGAGGTGTGCCTTATCAAAGTGCCCTGTTTCCCTATCATCTTGACCCAGGACTGCGAGGACACCAACCCCCTGATCCGCGCCTTGGCCGTGCGCACCATGGGCTGCATCCGGGTGGACAAGATCACGGCCTACCTCTGCGACCCGCTGCGCAAGTGCCTCAAGGACGAGGACCCCTATGTGCAGAAGACGGCGGCGGTGTGCGTGGCCAAGCTGTACGACATCAACCCGCAGCTGGTGGAGGATCAAGGCTTCATCGACCAGCTTCGCGACCTGCTGACAGCGTCCAACCCAATGGTAGGTTAGGGTCTTCGACCCCCTCATGGCGAGGATTCTGCACTGCCCGCTGAAGGAGTATGTAGAATACAGCACACATTATTCATGCCATGGGACTGACTTCCAGTTGTGTTTGTGTTGCAGTTTTAGTGAAATTAAAAACCTGTGAAAGACTGAAGTACTTTATTTTGCAACCATAGATCATCTTGGGATAAAAGGACTATAAACTTATGTCAAGATTCAACTTGCACAAGAGCAGGAACAAAACCACAGAAACACCAATTGTCCTTTTAGTGGGTGGAGGAATGAACTAGAGCAGTGCATTTGGAAGCTTTAATTTTCCAAATGTTCTTGCTCCCCATTCACCAAGCTGTGTACCTAGATATCTTGAATTTATCTATTTTTATCTTGGAAGTCTCACTGCTGGTCTAATTTGCATTCTGAGAAAGATTGAATGTTTCAGTCAGGCAGATTTTTCATGTGCGAACTGATTGCCATCCTGTATTTGCTTTTTCAATAAATGTGAGTGGAAAAAGATGAAAGTCACTTTCACCACTCCTACATATACTTCTGATTCAAATCCAAGAAAGATGAAGAAATAATCACTCCATAACCCTTGGATACCAGGGGTAAAAGACAGTCCTAGAAAAGGGCATTTTGTGAGCACCATCCATAAGATTCCCAAAGAGGCAGTTTTCGTTTTAGGTTTTGTGAATTATTCAGAAATCATTACCCTGGAATTCTTGGCAGGTGGTTGCTAATGCTGTTGCGGCACTCTCTGAGATCAACGATGCCTCGCCCACTGGTACGACCCTCTTTGACCTGAACCCTCAGACCATCAATAAGCTGTTGACTGCACTGAATGAGTGCACAGAGTAAGTCTACTTCCAGAGTGATGTATGTCTAACTCTTCAAAAGCTATCATTGTCTGTTTTGTCAATATTCATTTACTGTTTCTGCTAATCCTAAATTCCGTTTCAATCATCATTACTCTCTGAAAATTGTTCACTTTTTTGCATTGACAATAACTTTTCCACATTTAGACTTTTCCTTTTTTGCTTGTAAGTTTTTTGTGTGTGATGCCAAGAAGTCTGATCCAATTTTTGAATCAAATGATCATTAACACCTCTCTGCAGATGGGGTCAGATCTTTATCCTGGACTCCTTGTCCAACTACACCCCTAAGGATGACCGAGAGGCCCAGAGCATCTGTGAGCGGGTCACCCCTCGGCTGGCCCACGCCAACGCCGCTGTGGTACTCTCAGCTGTCAAGGTGGGTAAAAGTCAGTTAAGTCCATACCTTCTCTTGACCTCAGTTTGGATCTGCTCTTTTGACTAACAGTTAGCTTCAGGCACACAGCGCCGTCCAAAAACTGTAGATTTAACTTAGTAAGCACTAACCTGTCAAACAGGCACGTCATACTTGGTAAAATTGTAATAGTCAGTGTTACCTTTTAAAAAATCAGTAATTAAAATAAGTAAAGACACGAAGAGAATATCTCGCAAGTAAAAATGTTCCTGTTTTGAGTGGATTGTCGCTCTATGGAACACTATTGAAATTAACTTTGGGAATTGGCCTTGTTCCTAATGGTAAGCGGTGTTCCCAAGCTTAGCACGCGACGGTATTGACCACTCACCCATTCTGGAACATGCGTTCTTAGTTAAATGAAAAGTGGGTGTTCCTAAGTAAAAAATAAGCTGTTTCCATGAAAACATTCTTCAGGGGTCCAGCCTTTGAGATGCTGCTTAAAGTACCTCAACAGTGTCACAGGGAACAGATACCCACAGAAACCCTGTCCCCCCCTCAAAAAAAGAATGCTACTTATAGCACCAAATACACGAGGGTACTGCACTGTCCAAAGTTTGTACAGTGTTTTGGGTGTGACTGCATTGCTGTTCCATGAGCGTGCTGTGATAGCGTGCCCAGAATGGTGCATCCCTCTGTCGTCTGATCTTCCAGGTACTGATGAAGTTCATGGAGATGATGCCAGTAGAAGGCGAGTACCTCACCACCCTGACCAGGAAGCTGGCTCCACCCCTGGTCACTCTGCTGTCTGCCGAGCCCGAGGTGCAGTACGTCGCCCTCAGGAACATCAACCTGATAGTGCAGAAGAGGTAAGAGTCTGCATGGAACCGTTCTTAATCCACCAGAAGACTATCCTCTTGCGCAATATTGGTCGCATATTCTATCCACCCCGAGCTGAAGTGCACCCTCACCCGCGAAAAAAAGACAGATGGTACTAATTTTTCCAACCGGGTTCTTGCACGTGTTTGGCGTGCACACGAAGACCACACATTCTAGACTAAAACCGTTGGGCGTACTCGAGCGCACATAAACTTGTGCACCTATGCAGTGCGTGAGTACCAAAGGACTGTCAATTTCCTTTTCAAGACACGCCCTCTTTTGTTCCTGCTCGGAGCGGATTGCTCACTCAAACTTGAGACATACACATGTAAGTGCCTCATTAAAGTAGCTGGCTCTACAGTATTCTATCCAGCAAAATTAAGCAAATCCAGGTAAGCAAGCTGAGAAGGCTTGGGGTAATGTTTCACAACAGAACTATGTAAACTGTACTGCATACTTCATATTCATCGCACATGCACACATCTAGGCTGCTGGGAGTGTGTAACCTTAGGCATTTGGAGGGTCTGGAAGGGTGAAATGTTTCATACATATTTTGGATGTGGAAACAAGAAATGTTAATTCAGCAATTGAGAGATTTCATTCCATGCTGTCTGACTTTGTACCACGGTTTTTAATCAAGGCTCTTGGTTGCTACAGATGTGTGGCATTTCTATGTAAGTTTGGAGAGGTTGATCCTCGCACACTTGGAGACCAGGCAAGATTCAAACTTACAGGTTCTTACTCTTGGCCACTAAAGATAAGTTAATAACTCAACCTGCTGTATACATCATTGGATCATCGCTGAAATCTCTCTCTCATACTTGACCCAAACAGACCAGAGATTCTGAAGCAGGAGATGAAGGTGTTCTTTGTCAAGTACAACGATCCCATCTATGTCAAGTTGGAGAAGCTGGACATCATGATCCGTCTGGCTGCCCAGGGGAACATTGCGCAGGTGCTGGCCGAACTGAAGGAGTATGCCACCGAGGTGGACGTCGATTTTGTACGCAAGTCAGTGCGGGCCATCGGTCGCTGTGCCATCAAAATTGAGGTGAGGATAATAAGCGACTAGATTGACAACCCAAGGATCATGTGTGATTTACACTCTTGCTTGTCGAGTTTTCACAGATAAGACAAATGGAAAACTTTCTTTCTAAGATACATGTGTGTTGTATTTGTTAAACATTATTTGCTAGATTTCCCCCGCTGCTGAAAGTGCCATGATTTTTTGTAGGTATCCTCGGGGCCATAGGAAATTTTAACTGTACTGTTGTATTTTGTGTTGGCTCAGTTGGTCTTGTGTTAAGAAAGGAACTTCTAATCTTGTGCCTGACTCCAAATCTGAAACCAACTTAAGCTCCGTACAGAGTCAATACCCAAATGAATTTTAATGATAAAGACACTTCATCCGGTTAGCATGTATTTCCATCTTTGTGTACATTCCTCGCAAACAAACATTTGCAAAGGCATAAAGTGAATGGTCTATTAGTCTTGAACATTTTAGTCAGCATGTGTTAGGCTCTTTCAAGGCTGCAGAAAAGTGACAGTTACTCAGGAATCATGTAAGCGAGTATGACTTGTCTTTAATCCCTTTAGCAATCTGCTGAACGCTGCGTCAGCACCCTCCTGGATCTCATTCAGACCAAGGTCAACTATGTGGTCCAGGAAGCCATCGTGGTCATCAAGGACATATTCCGGAAGTATCCCAACAAGTATGAGAGCATCATCGCCACTCTCTGTGAGAATCTTGACACATTGGATGAGCCAGAGGCAAGGTGAGGAAATGTCGCGCCATAGCTTTGGCCTGAATCTTGGGTCCCACAGACACACTGCGGTTGTATATGAGCACACAAAGGATGAGATAAAATATATTTTTGAGATGTTAAATTTCAGGTGTTTTCTTCGCACCCTCTTGGTTTCAGCAAAATTCTTCAAGAGTACAACAAAAAACGTACTGAAATCTTACAGTTGGAAACAGTTGTGATGAAATTCAGCAGGATATTGACTCCTTTTTCAAATTTGATGTGATAAGCTTTATTTACGTCAAGAGATTACAACAACTATCCACCTCAAACCATGCCATATTTGTAAACTACAGTGCCACTTTTAGTAGTGTAAAACACTTTTATGATATTGGTCTGCACCCTTTTATGCCTTCATGGAAATCTTTTTTCAACCTTTTTCTGACCTTTTCAACCTCACAAAAACATGCCAGTTGATCTGTTCTCTGAAGCACCCTTTAAACCTTATCGCTCATCCCCAGAGCCTCCATGATCTGGATCATCGGTGAGTACGCCGAGCGCATCGACAATGCAGACGAACTCCTGGAGAGCTTCCTGGAGGGGTTCCATGACGAGAACACCCAGGTACAACTGCAGCTACTGACCGCCATCGTCAAGCTGTTCCTGAAGCGGCCCACGGACACCCAGGAGCTGGTGCAGCAAGTCCTCAGTCTGGCCACGCAGGTAAAGTGCCATTGATGAATAGGAACATTTGTGACAGAATGAGTTGCAAGTCGCTAGAATTACTGTGGATTTAAATGCCTTAAAATGAATCTTTCAAAATGCAAATTATAAGGAACCTTCGGTATTTTCTACCCACATTATAGCCATTTTCATAAGAATGTGATTCTGAGTGATCAGTCAAAATGAAATGTTCCGTTTGTTCTTCCTAACTGAAACAAAACACAAAATGACGGAAAAGAATAACCTTAAGGCTCATATAGACCTTTTTACCCACGTCACTGGATTGCGCTAAAATGTAAACAATACCACCACGTGTGGACCGCCTTGGCTACGATGATCACATATATGCCTACGGGCAGCTTCAACCACATACAAGTGGACGTGCAAACGCTGCATGCTTGACTAGTTTAATCTTGAATAAGTAGATTACCATCACAACACTATGCACTCATTACCATCACAACATATCGCGGTCCAGCACGATTATGACATCACAGGAAAAAGGTTTATTGTGGGAGGCCTTCAGATTTTAGGCTTTTTCTTTTGAGTTTGACCATCTCCCAGCTTGCATCTCATCCTCTCTGAATTCTCCAGACTTGAGACACCATCGTTTAAAATCGCATCATTTTTGAGAAGACACTTGGCAAGTACCCGTCATCAAGCACCCAGGACCAACTAATCCATATTCGCATTGGCAAGAATGGCAAATAAGGCACCAGACTATTCCATGCCATGACTAATTACTGAATCTCATGCTGCATTAACCTACCCCCCCACCAACTTCCCACAGGACAGTGACAACCCCGACCTGCGCGACCGCGGCTACATCTACTGGCGTCTCCTCTCCACGGACCCGGCCGCGGCTAAGGACGTAGTGCTGGCCAACAAGCCCCTGATCTCGGAGGAGACCGACCTGATTGAGCCCACCCTACTGGATGAGCTCATCTGCTACATCGGCAGCCTGGCCTCCGTCTATCACAAGCCGCCCAGTGCATTCGTGGAGGGTCGTAATGCTACTAGGAGGGTGTTGCCTACGCGGGCTCCAGGGTAAGCCTTGCCAAGTGTATAGAAAATACAGGCAAGTTGTTGCATAATGGAAGCTCTGTGTTTGTCTCAGTAGAACATGGCTTCTAACTTTTGTATAAATCCCCTCCCATTTTACCTACTATTACTATGAGAGGCAAAACTTGGTCGAAAAATCACTCTTCATTGGCGTCAGATTTGGCCTCAGAATGTACACTGTGCCTTATTACTTTTAAAGAGGGTGGTATTTTCATATTGTATTTAGTAGTATGGTGTTTCTTATTTGGTGTCATGATGGGTGCGGGAGAGTCTTTAACATGTAGCAAATTATGCTTACATTGCTTTTGTACTGACTGCCAGCCATAGTGTTACCCACAAGGATACAACTGTGTAGCAGAAAGAGCAGACCTGGTAGTTTGTAGGCCTGTTAGTCCTCCAAAGTCATGCATAGTGCGGAAAGCCACAAACACATTCATTCCACTAAATTTCAAGGGGCATCAAGAATCAAGCATTTCTGGGAATCAAACCAAGGATTCCACAATAGTGCCCCAGGGACTGTAACTCATAAGCCTGAAGAAACCTGTAGAGAGAAGACAATGACAGGCAGTTTTACAGGTCGGAGAAAAATCCCAGAAGAATACTCTGGGTTAAACCCGTGGAATTGGGTAGGGCCTGAAAACCCAATCCTCACGTTGACCAAGCGGCAGAGGTGAACAACGAGGAAAGAACCACTCTGCCAACCTGACTTTATGCTTTTACATTGTAACTCCCACCCCAAGGAAATATCAAGGAACTTGCTCCTACTAAATTTTTTACCCCTCGCCTCCCCCCCCTCCCCATCCCTCTACACCGGTGAACAGCTCTGGTTCTACTTCCCCGGAGAGCGAGACGGCCGCGGCCCCTGTTCCAGCACCCCAGGTCATCCCCCAGCCCAGCCAGGGCGATCTCATCGGTGACCTGCTGGGGATGGACCTGGGCCCCCCCGCCGGCGCTGCTGCCATGCCCGCCTACGGTGGCGCCCCGATGCAGCCACAGCTGCAGCCGCAGCTGCAGTCGCAGCCGGAGATGTCGGCCGGGCTGGACCTGCTGGGTGGTAGCCTGGACACAGTGGTGAGAAGCTTTGTTTGGATCGTGCATCGGCAGCTGAGGCTCTCTTACATGAAACACTATTACCTTGTTTCTTTACAAACGCTATTATAGTACTATTGCTAGTTTATTACTCTACATGCTAAATTGCAGGGGTCGATTACAAATAGAATTAAAAAAAAAAAAATTGAACTACATTGTTTACTCCAATTAGAAAGTATAAAAACCACTGTGCGGCTTCCCAGTCCCAAGCAAGTTTGTAGGATTTCTCATGTTACATTCTCTTGCCTTACCATAGCCCGTCATGGGAGGAGGTAACTTGGGTGCTCTGGGTGACATCTTCAGCCTAGCCAGCGGCCCCGGCATGGGAACTGGAATGTACGTTGAGCCCAAGTCGGTGAGTGACATTTAGTTTCCAGACTAACAAAAGGATTTTCTACTGTGAAGCCCACGTTGTGGTCGAGACTAAATGAGTATGAGACTCTTTGCTCCAGAAGTTACATGTACGGGTGCCTCTTTAATATGTCACTTCAAAGGCAATGACAACAGCATCTGGAGGGACTGACGAGAATGAGGAACATAAATTAGCTTGGTAGGATTATTTATTTATTTATTTATTGTGGTTTATTAAATTTGAATCACGGTGGCCAAAGGCCAAAAACACTTCAAATTTACATTACGATTAACAAATATATCAATTAAACTTTACATTACAACATTACTTAAAATGAAAAGTAAAGTATAATAAAGTAAAACTACTGTTCTCCAGAGACCATGAGAAGTCTGTCACAGATCATGTCATAAGTCAAAATCATGTGTCGGGGTATGACATACCGGGGGTTACTAGAGCCAAGGACTGTAAACACAAGGTTTGTCATAAGACCTTGACGCAATCTGTTCTTTGATATCTGCCACACACATTTGCCACACAGCCACAATCCTTGGAAATCCTCCACTAGCGCATGGAGAATTTGGGAAAGTTAGTGTCGTTGAAGATACTTGATGCTTTTCCCCAGGTGCTTGAAGTTTCTCCCAGGGCTTTGAAGTACTCCCATCAATTAGGAAGAGGCCCATTTGTGTTGGCAGTCCTGTGATAATCCTCATTTCTTCCCATGGTCTCTGGCCATAGGTGTGGCTACCAGCAGCGAAAGGCAAGGGCCTGGAGATTGGCGGCACCTTTGCTCGTCGGCAGGGCCAAATCTGCATGGATTTGACCTTCACCAACAAAGCCATGCAGCAGATGAGTCAGTTTGCCATACAGCTCAACAAGAACAGGTGGGTCCCAAGTCTTCACTCTGTCTGGCCAGGAAAGCACAGTGGGACAGATTTTTCATTGGACAGGAAAATTTGAACAGGGCTTGGAGAACTCAAGACTCTCCCTACATCTACTTTTGTAGGACTTCTGTATAGCCCCACAACTCTGAAAGAAGTATATGTACCCAAGAAGGTTCCAAGTTTTAGGGAATACTCTTTTTATATTTGAAATCTTTTGAGTGGTCAGGATTTTTGGAGAGTCCAAACAATTTTGTTGGGCCCCCACAGTAGCTACCATTCAGAACATGTATTCCCCTCATTTATGACACCGTCACACTTGTGCAGGTAGAGCTCTGTAAGTATGTGTTAGGAAAGGGGGTGCATTAAAGGTCTACAGATCAGGCAAGTGGCAGTGAAGCTCCAAGGATCAAAGTATTATGTGAGAATAGCTGCATTTGAAAATTACACATTTCATTGTGTACTTGTTATTTATCTACAGCTGATAAGTGTTATTTCTTGCCACAGCTTTGGCCTGATCCCGGCACAGCCCTTGTCCATCGCTAGCCCCCTCAACATGAACCAAAGCCTGGATGTGACCTTGCCGCTCAACACCAATGGTCCAATCCAGCAGATGGAACCCCTTCTTACCCTGCAGGTGGCCGTCAAGAACAACATCGATGTCCTGTACTTCAGTTGTCAGGTTCCCTTCAACGTGATGTTCGTGGAATCGGGAGAGATGGGTAAGCCCACCGGTCTTCTTAATACCAAAGTGAGGAAAGACCCAAATCTGTAGTGATTGGACCATTATCAGGTTTCCGGTCACATTACCGCAGCTGTCATTTGTCTAATTGTAACGCTAGAGGAGTTTTGTTCCGGGAGAAGGGAGAAGTCCTGGAACTATTCTGTTGATTATTCAGAAATAAATGCGAGCAGGCCCTGTCAGTCTGTTGATGCATTGTAACACTGTGTGAGATCCTTGCAGTCAAAGGATGGCTGAACTGCTGTGGACTTTGATATTTAGGTGCTCCCCTGGTTCCCTTCCCCCCCCCCCCCCGAAAAAAGGAGACACTGCAAGCACTCTCAGTGAGCAAAATCATGCAGAACCAGTTTGGGCCCAAAGTGGTTCTGTGTGATTTGGACAGAGTTTGTACTGTAAAGGCATGTCACTCTTAAGGCCTTTGTATTTGGGTTTCTGGGTGTCTTGGTTTTTGTCTTGACCTGAAAAAAACAGCACATCTAAACAAACCAGTTTGGTGTTTCCCAAAGGAAAGTCATTTGAGAACAAAGCGCATGTGCGAGTCTGCGATGACCGTGTCGACAGGGCAAACTTTGATCGTGTGTGTACTGCTGTTCCCCCAATGACCTCAGGCAGAGTAAACTCTAGGCATGCAACGTTGGAATACCGAACTGGCCCATTGCAAATTTGTATGTCGTTTCAGATCATATATATTATAAAATACGATGTCATAAATAGCCCCCGGGGTGTCCAGCAAATGCCCAGATACCTCTCTGGCCAACACCTCGGCATTAGTTTTCCTTTTTGCTTGGTGTTCCAGTTTTGGTAATGCATGAAGACGGTTCCATTTACCACTGCCTCGTTGGAGTTTGCTGTTTACCTTGTAGCTGAAATTCCTACTAATTAAAAAAAAACAAGCCCAGGGGTTCAGGAATGGACTTTGATGCTAACGTGGATGCTTTTGGCTTGCAAATTCTCCTGCCGATCTTTATTGCTAATTTTTCCTCACTTTATTTCGGTTTGAGTGATCTAAGCTTTGCTGTTTACTCCTTTTAAAACGGCAGTCTTCTTCATGAATGTGTTTCATTGTTCACTTGCTAGATCATGTTTTTTGTTGTCGCTTTATTTTGTTCGCTGCTTTGCAAGTAGAAGGTATGAATGACCAGGATGATGCCAAAGGTAACCATAAAATCCCAAGTTCCACCCTCTGCTGCCCCCTTCTGTTACCCCTTGGTAAATTCAAGCCCTGTCCCTAACACCCTTACTTTACGTAGATCTCCCAGCTCAATTTCATGAGCACTCAGAAAAGTAGATTCCTGGTGAAATTTAATACATGATAGTTTTGACTACTATGACATTAGCATAGGTTCTTTTTTTTTATATTTTTGTTTTGAATTGTTTTTTTTTTCCCGCGTCCCAAGCTGTAGAATTCTTGATTAATTCGGAAGTTGAATTGTGTTTAAAGCAAACTTTCGTTGCTGTCAAGTCAAGTCTGCCATCAACTTTCTCGCATGTCAAAGTGTCTTTTTGAGTTAATACACTGAAGTAATATCTTTTATATTTTATGAACAATTCTATTGCTGCCTGGTAGATTCATTAATGTTTGATTTTATACGCCAAGCATGAAATAACATCATTTGGTTACGTACGGTATACAAGAATGTATTTCAAAGTGGTTGGTTTGTAAGCGAGTGTGATTTGCTTGTTAACCCGTTGACTCAGAGCACATTGTCTGTAGCCCAGGATTATTTTGTGTGAGTACAGTTCACCAGTCATTAACACAAATCTCTGGAAATTGTGTGTTCTCAAAAGTGTCTTGAGGGGCATACACGTATCGGCTTCTTATAAAAATAGCAATTTGGGGGGGAATTAATAACTAATAATAAAATTTGCTTATCTTGTGCACCAGAAGACAAATTACCAAATCCTGTAAAAGAATATTTAATATATGCAGAAACCTGCAGCAGTTTTCCCTCTGACCTTGGTAAGGATCTGGACCACAACTGACGTTCACATCCTCTGTTGTTCATACCTTCTCATGTTCCTTTGAAGAAGCACACGTGCTTCTTGTTTCTTTTCTTGTGTTTTCTGAGATTTGTGGTTTTGATATATTATTGCTTTTATTGTAATTTGCCTTTTCCAATTTTACTGAGTTTACTAACACCAAGGTCCTATGTAATTGCTTCAGTAATGTACATGTACATGGTGTACATCACATGTACTGTACGTGATCCGTGTGGATTCCCAGAACAAGATTTCAATTAAGTTCATTCCATGTCAAGAAGAGTCATGAAACGATGGCAGCTCAGTTATCTAAGAGTCCAACTCAAAAGCTGTACGATAATCTACGTTGTGGGTTCTGATCTGCCTGGGTGGCTGAGACACTTTGCTAGTTACGCTGCCTTCCTGTGTATACCCAGTGGAAGTGAAAGACAGAGATGGTTGCAGCGTTGGTGTGAAGCAAGCCCTTCAGTCTTTTCTGGAACTGGTCTTGCTGTGTGCATTTGTGCATGATTGGGTTGCCCTCTCCCCCTCTTCCTTCCCCCCGTTCAGTTCACATTTTCGGTGAAATGTTCCCCTTAAAGACCCGAGGGTCTTGCACGCGTACAGGGTGTGCAGTCTCCATGTAATGATGATTGTTGTTTCTGTGGTGATCTTTACAGAGAGGCGTGATTTCTTGACTGAGTGGAAGAACCTCCCTGCTGCTTTTGAGGTGCAGTTTCCCATTGAAGTCCACGTGTCAGCAGGTAGGTATATAGACTTGAATCAAGTCGGACTTACGTCGCTCTTCCCCAGTCAGCCATCCTTTCACATACACAGTACACGGTCATTGCGTTTGGCCACTCGCATAACTTCTTATAAGGTGCCCTCATTTGATAGCTTTTCCGCGATATCCGATGTCAACGTCAAAGATTGTACAACGTGTCACGAGTCAGTAAGTCCGACTTGATGGATAAGCCAACCAGACCCCTTGTCAGTGATATGTACATAGTTACTCATATTTGCATACGAACAACTTGATGTTGCATAATATATACAGAATTTCCACCAAAGTAGTCAAGACTTGGGATTTCCGCCAATCACAGTGGTCAGACTTGTGGATTCGTTCATTATAATCTGAAAGGCATTTAAATCGAATAGGACTCGAGTCCAAATTAAGAGTCATTTTAGTCAAATCTGTAGCCTCTTGCTGAATGGTTGTGTTGCTATTAAAGGACACCTTCAAAGAGCCTGCTGCAGTGTTGCGTGCTAGCCCCAAGAAATTAGAAGGGAAACAGGTGAGGCAGGTTTGCCTCCAGAGGCAGGAGGAAAACTGTGAATAAATTGCAATACCAAAACCCAGTCCACCATCAGTATTTGGAGTGCGTTTGGAACCTTGGGCAGACAAGAAAAGTCCTGCTTCACCACAATCATCGTCCGTCCAACTGCTTTCACCCCCGACAGATGAGGCAGTCCAGAAACTGAAAGCAAACAATGTCTACACGGTGGCCCAGCGCAACCTGGACGGCCAGGACATGCTGTACCAATCCCTGAGGCTGGCCAACAACATTTTCATCATGATGGAGCTGAAGATGCAGCCCGGTAATCCCTCGGCTACGGTGAGTTGCGGACGCATCCACAGCAATCGGCAACTTAAAGGCTGGGCACCAACTGCACTAGACCCGATTCACAAGGAAGCCAATCAGTTTTTAATCTTGGTCCCTGAATCTGTTTGTCTGAATTGTCAGCTGTGGATTTGGATGGTGCCAGACTATTTTATGATTGGCATGCATTCAAAGCCTTCCTTTCAATGCTTTTTAAAATCTTGCTGAAAACAATAAATGAATGTTTAATCACAAGTTAGAAATTATTCGCCCGGGTATACAGGTAATAAAAAAGCAGTTTCATGATACATGTATTGCTTCATTGCAACCGCACTGTCAATTTCAACATGGCCAACCTATGAATAAGTTATAACGTCTCTGGAGTTTCATGGAAGAAATTGTTACTCAGGAAATGCATATACTAAGCCAAAATCAGCCAGGAACCATTCAGAAACAATATACCGAACGAGTCTTTCCATAAGTAGGAACCTGTAACATTTTCAACCCACACAAAGTCCATTTTCTTTTCATTTTTGTTGATGACATTTCCGGGTTGGGTCTTGCTTTGATGTCGATGTTTGGACCGGATAGATGGAAGAATCATCTACTTTGAAGTCATTTCTTGTTTGTCTTTTTCTTGCAGCTCTCCATAAAGTGCAGGAAAGTGGAATTTGCCAGCCTGGTTAACACAAGCTACAAGGCCATCCTGCAGAACTAAGGGAATCTTTTCCCGACAGTCAACATACCAACATGTATCTATCATTCCGTTTGCCTGTCCTTTGGTCTCTCGGTACAATTCTTACTTACAAAAAAAGAGCCCACAGGCATCTTTGTCCCATTGTGTTCAACAAGAAAAGTGGCAGCTAGCAAAAAGCAGTACATTCTGCTTACCAGGATGGCAAGCACTTAGGTCTCGCAGATCCCTGTCTTGGAGATACTGCTTGAGGCAGTAGCATCAAGAGGCACCTTTTAATCATGATGGCATCTACAGCGAAACTGTAAAACAAAACAATTGCAGACCCACTTCATTAAAAACGGAAGTTCCCATGAAGTTTATTCAGTACATGAGCTGCTGTTGGTGCTCGACTTAAACTGACCTTGTTAGGAGTTGCATTGCACATGGGTCGTCCTCCAATGTTTAACTTCAAATTTGTTGAAATTGTTTGATGTGGAGAACAGAAGTATTCACATCTTTCAAATGTGTAACAGTGAAATGGTGAGGACGACACTGGTGTGATAACTTTACTGCAGTGTGTTTCATTTATTTGTTTAAGCCACATAACCACAGTCATGGGTACACCTCGTTACCTAGTTACGGCCAAGGATCAACATTAATTATATAGGTCTATATTCTGTTTTTACAGTTTATATATATTGCTAGCTGTTAGCCTAATAATCCGGTGTATTTACCAAATAAATGTAAATCACACACTTTTGATTTTCATGCTGTTCATTATGGGCACAACGAGAAGGATGTGCGTGTACCAACAATCATAACTGTCCACATATTTTTGGGCAGGATTGGTGTTCCCCCCCCATTATTAGTACATGGTCAGTCATTCCATGGTCATTCCTATGTCTGGACACCCCTCCTTTGACTCTTGAGCACAGGGTGTCAGCATGTAGCTTGTGCAACATAACCCATTCCCGATGTATGACGTGCGAAATATTATACAGGTGATGTATTGATTCTTGTATGTAACTCCTTTGCCATGTTCCACGGCACAGTGCGATAGGTTCGTGCACATGTCTGCTCATATTAGACACGATCAAGTACAGTAATGTAGGTTGCTTCTATGTTGGAATTGTGGGTTTCTTAAATTCAAGCTCTCTCGTGTTTTGGCATAATCCAAAGAACTTTTTTTTCAGGCAAATGCATTTTAGTATGCTTAGTGTAGTAAATTTGATGTATCTGAAACCTTTAAAGTTCAATAAATAAATCAAATATTTGAACTCATATTGTCTTCCTGTTTTGCACCTGTTCATTCCGGTTCGTTCATTGGTCATCTGTTTTGCAAGACATCTGCCCTGAAAGAGCCACTTTTTTACCGGACCATCTCACGACGGGGGGGGGGGGAGATTTGCAGTATTTGTTGAGAAACTATACCCTTTCATGTGTTCATAAGTTACGAATTATCACCACAACCTCCAGTAACACTGCTATAATGCTCAAAACTTGAAAAAAGAAATGACATATGCTTTTACAATTAGCAATCAGCAAATGAAGAAAAAGATGCAGTTTCTCTCCCAACAAAGGATTACACTGTTCATTATACAACACTAAATAAACACCTGTAATATCCTTTGAATACCATTATAGTAAATTGTTGATCACGTGACGGAATCATGAAGTCACACCACAAAGCTTGTGCTGTAACAATCCAAAACCATGCAAAAGAAGGGAAATCAATAAATGCATAGGCTCTTTGTATACGTAGCTCTTCAGAGTGACTGATGCAAATAATGAAGGCAAAGCAGCATTATTCCATCTTCTACCGAGAAAAAAAAAAGAGGGGTGTAGTAGGCACAATAGCCTTAGGGTATACAGCTTGCGCATTAACTTGGGGGGTCTCCCTTTCCCACATATCGTGCCTGGTATCGATGTTGCCAATGCCAAGATACAAACACAACAGGCTGTCAAACATTTAGAGGAATACATATTCAAGACCGAACAGGAATGTATTTAGTTGTTCATGTGTTGTATGAAATTGTCAAATATCGCATTTGTGCAGTGGAAAGAGCAATTTCATAGGTGACAGATGGAATGTTCCATTCCATGGAGAGAAGCTGAGTAGAATTCTGTCAACTCAAGATATTATTCTTACCGATGCACAGATATAAACACTGACAGATCATACAAAATCTTATACTCATCCAACTTTGTGCGATTGTTGTAATTTGCTGAAGGACATTTAATAAAATTGGAGACACTGTAAAGCAGTATGAAAGACACCTGTAGGGTAGAATACTTGCACTGTGCTCAGTTTAGTCGTGACTATTCACCATTATTTGACGTTAAATGCCACATTTAAAGCTTAGCCAATTCCCATTGCTCACAAATGGACACTTCTGATCGCAAAACTGGCAATTTCTCAAGGCCTCCATAAAATCATGGTTCTGGATGCTAGGAACATATGAGAAATTCCACGTAAGTACTCTCTCGGCATAAGAAAAAAAAAACCTAAAATGAGACTAAAATGAGACTCTAAACAGGTACAAATTGCATAAAACAAGCAAAATCTTGATTGATCCTTACCAAATTCCAGTTCTGACAATTGTTTTTTGATGTGACTGAAGCAATTTAGGGAAATTGTTTCACAACTCGTACAAATTTGCTCAAAGCAAACCATGCCTAAAACTGGGTTAGGAAAAAGATGAATCCAGTTTCCTCATTATATCTAACAACTGACAAAACTGCAGTTTGCTTCACAGACATGCAGTAAAAGTAGTCTCTAGGTTAATATGATTCCAGAAGAGTCACGTATCATTGGAACAAATCTGTATAGAACATGATTTCAATAAGACAAAAATGCTAGCATTTGACGTCAACACAACCCTTGCCTAAACTGTCCTATAGAGGGTTTGGATGACTGCCATCTTGAAGGCTAGTGGTTTTGTTCCACAGGGTGTGTACAAGGGGCGGTCTTTCTGTGGGAAAAAAGAACTGTCCTGCAACAGGCAAGCCAACCACGCATACCTCTATTGCTTTCTTCTTGTTTTGCGGAGGGAATGTCAGGTCCAAAGTCTTGTATTTCCATACCTGGCAGTTCAAGGTTCCTGATGCACTACTTGATAAGGTAATTTGTTAAAACCTGAGCAATTAAAAAGGGATTTACCTGTAATTTATTTACCACTAAAATCTAACAAGAATCCATTGGCAACTTAACTCATGGTGAATAAGGAGTGTAACCCGCGCAGATTAAAGTGAAAGTTTGATTTCTGTACAAATCAAAACTCACCATACTTAACAGCAGTGTCAAAAACAAAGAAAAGAACGGGCTGTTCCATAAGTCTAAAACACAGCCTGAATCAATAGTGTACTAATAAAATAATTCCCTGATAAGCATTAACTGAAAGAGACAAAGGTACTGTACCATTCTTGAAAGTCTGAAATTGTGAATAATTATGTAAAGCCCCCCCCCCCCCCCGACAGGGAAAACAAAATGAAACCCTTGCATACTGGTCTTTTTCATCTTTAACTTCAGTTCAACATCTGAGGGAGTGATTGCAGTGGCTAGTACCTGTACAATGCTTCACTGAGTGAGTATGTGCAGCTTGTATGGTGTTTTCAAAAACCAGCATCAACGCCATTCTGAATCTCCTGAGACTGGTGCTGATGGCTCTTCATTCTGTGAGCATGGATTTCCACACCACAAGGCCTCAAAACACAACGCCTCCAAACCAAACACGAAGGGCATTGCGTTCATGCCTACTGGACACCAATAATCAAACGTGATGAGAAAGGATCCTGGGCCCAAATCTATCTGCTGAGCAGAAAATAAATGCACAACTAATTTTAATGAGCTACCTTTGCGTGTATAATGCACACGTAACAACCAAAAGACACCTCCTTCCACCAAAAAAATTCAAACAATACATTTTTCAAGACTGCATTAGGTTAGATATGACCTTTAAAAATGATCACATGCACATAAAATGACAAGAACAGGACACTTGATCAGACAAGATACATTTAAAGTACAAAAGCATTACATTTAAACACATCAAAAATGCTGAGCCATTAGGTGCCAGGGATTTGGCCAAGGCAGTCAATTACATGCAAGCACGATGCTACATGTAGCTACCATCTCACTTAATGATCAGTCTATTTCAGCGAATAAATAAGGAATGCATTATGCTGAAAATTTTATATTCTATAGAAAGGAATGGCTTTCTCATATCATCACGATAGATTTAGATGGAATCTTTGTGGGCCTCTTTGTTTCACACGGATCCGGATCGTGATCAGTGATCTGATGCTGATTCAATGACACCAGAACCCGCCTAATAGATAAAGCAAACCAGCTTTGGGATCGCTGATCAAAATCCAGATCTATGAAAGAAAGAAACAGGCCCTATGAAATACATGATAAGCAACCTCAGCAAGTTGAAAATGAAGAGAATTACAAAGTAGGATAATACGCATCATCAGCACTTGACGCTCGTAACTCAAATTTCAGATGATACACAGGAGGTAGGAAAAGTAATTTACAGATCCCTTTTCTTACAAAAAACAAACACTGCGATTGAGATATAGGCCCACTGACTGATACTTGGGCTCCACATACAAAGAAGATATTAGCATTATTCTTGTGCAAATGCCAAAGTATGATATAAACCTTACAATGTGACAAAATCCATCACATTATTAATACTTCCAAACAGCTAAGTAGCCACACCAAAACGAAGTTCGTTTCAAGATGTGAAAGACACTCATTCCTGACTTGTCTAGCCTCTATGTTAAGTACGGTAGATATTAGTTGCTAAAAATCAGCCCATAGTCCCCACATGCAAATAAAAAAAAAGCCATTTTCTTCACTTCAAATGGATTTCATCTCACATGAAAGACTGAAATAGTAATGTTCATTAACTCAATCATTCACATCATTAGATAGACATGCATTTCTACTAGGCACATCTCTTAAAATTGTGGCTATCAAAGACAACTGATGTAAAAAAACAAATCTCAAATTAAACGTGCGGGCTGTTATATACTAACTATTGACTGGCATATTTTTACCAGCTGCTGTGGAATATCAGGCATTCTGGGAGAGGGTTGTAGTCGAGTCTTTGAGTCACAAGTCCATTCGCAAGTTTAACAGGATGAACAAATAACAAAGGAATGCCCTCCGTTACACTTTATTTAAATAGCTTGAGACTGGATGACTTGTGAAGGAGTTGTAGGAACTTATGATGGACTTGTGATAAATTCGATTACAGCCCTCCGAGCTCCAGAATCTGGAACTGATGGCTGGATGGGAAGGAACCAAGAATTAGGTGAACATTCCTGGAGGGGCACACCCTTTTTATGCACATCAAAATAATGCGCAGGTCATTAAGCATGAATGAACACAATGAACACAAAAAACCAACCAAGATGTGTTAAAGGCACATACTCATGTGCCAGCACGTACAGTGTACATACCCGTGCATTAGAAACCAGCCAAGACCTACAGCTACACCTACATGCAGCTAGTCACAAGGGTCTGTGCATAGGCCAAACTTGAATTGACCCACTGAGGTGAAGAGCCTTTTTTTGTTCAGGGAAGACTATACTTCTGCTGCTTAAAGCACTTCAATGGTAATATTGCCAACACGATTTAGCTTTTGTGCGTAAATCCCCTCCTCAAACTGGAATTTTGAATTTATCCAAATTTTTTTTCTAAACATGAAAGACACCTCGATGAAAAGTATCAAGTGGGCCAAGCTGCCAAAATAAAACAGTAGGTACGTTATGTTGCTTTCTCAGTGCAACTCTTTTCAGTGATCAATCACGAACTGACTAATCCATCCATCAGAATGCCCATGTGAGTGAGGTGCCGCCGCAGCTCACTCTACATAAACCAGTGCTGTTACTGGTCCCCTGTCTCATACTCTCCATAATATCCTACGTCTGGTGCTGAGACTAGCTCTTAGGCAGAGTTCGGACGGCTTGTTCTGGTATGTTCAAGAACAGCTCGATTTGTTGTTCGTTAGTTGGCTGCTCGAACACCGGGAACGTGCAACCGGTTGCATGTAATATGGCGGCATCTATGTACGTTCTTTCAGAGTAAACTTGGAAAGCTGGGCAGAATTCTTTTCTACTTTGAAAAGGAACATTCATTTCTTTGCTATGGAAATGATTATTGTTAATTTTGTAAAACTTCCCATTGTCTCAGGCTTTGTGAGCCATCTTGCTATTTTTTGCGACTGTTCAAAAATCAAAATCTCACGGGTTTTTCCGTGTGTTCCTGTAAAACCCTGACGAGGAGGTGTTGCGTGATCCTCTTCCGGGAACAGTGTTCTTGGGTTGTGTTCCCGCCGTTCGAGCACGAGAGCAAGAAATCCGTGTTAAGAACGGGCTGCCCGAACTCGACCTTGGTGTCACCCCAGATCCTTAGGAAGGCTCAGGCTGCGGTTAAATCTGTTGTCTGCAGCGAGATCTAGATCTTCACTCCATTGGAAACACGTGGAGGTGCAGACAATGGACCTAGCCATAGCTCTGGGAGCCCACTCCGGACACTGCCCCAGTCTGGACTGGTGTCTGCTTCCGGTGGGGAATTCATTTCTGTCTGTGTAACTCCTCTTTCAGTTGCTGAACGGAAGTCTGACAAAATGGGAAACCAAACAGCAAAACCAAGTTTAGAAACAAATCGAGTGCCAAAACAGAATAAAAACTCGCCCAGGCTGAATCAATGATCCCATCCCTTTCTATTCCTGCTCAAACCAAGCAAGTCCAAACCATCTCTGAACCAACGGCAGATCCAGAAGTAAATTTTAAAAAGTTTGGAAAGTGTTTCTTGTATTACCTATTATAGTCTTTCAGCAGGACAAGGCTACATTTGGGGACTTTTTAGACTTATCAGGAGGGAAATAAAAAAGACCCCAAAATGACCTATCTCTCAGTATTACTAAAAAAAAAAACCCAAATCAAGCTGGCTTTATTTTGAGGGAGGCCATGTTGCTAGTTCCCTCCCCCCAAGACCACCATCTGCCCTCACAAACCATCTCCCCTTCAATCTTGCCAACGCCCAGGTGAGTCCAGCCCCCTTTTAAGCTCCTCATACTTTTGGTTCAAGGGAGCCAAACCAGGCCATCCCTTCCCTATAAACCCATCCCACTGGTAGAACCACCCTACCAAGTCTTTACCCACTCATATCCAAGACCAGCCTGGTTCAGCTGATCCCCAGCTCAGCCCAGATGATAACCAATGCAGTCTACATGTACATGTACATACGTGTACAGGTACCTTACCCCATCAGCGCTCTCCAGCTTAACACTGCCTAGACCATATCCAACCCATGAGCCCCTACCTATCCAAGCCAAAAGTTCAGCCCATTCCTAGCTCAACCCGGCCTCATCCAAGCTGATAACCCAGCCAGCCTATACCTTAGCCCAGATCCCTGCCCTCCTCAGCCCAGCCAAGCTATATAAAGCCCTGACTCACCAGCAGTCGCTTCCCCTTTGTCTCAATGGGAAGGAGCATACAGGCAATCGCACACAGGATGGTGGTCACACCGTAGATACTGAATGCTAGCACAGGTGAACCAGCTAACAGCACCTGCAAGTGATCCAAAATTATAATATCAAATGGCTGATGCCTGACATTCTCAGAACCGGCCATCCCACTTTTTCCACGAGGGGCATATCCCACCCACTTTTTGCAGGGCCTATAATGGGGTGGGCTTAATGGATTGACCTATTAAAAAACACTTGCTGCCGGGGATTCCGGTTTCGGACACATTTTCTTTACACGCGTGGCCGGGATCTCCGAAATCGGACAAAGGGAACTGGACACTTGTAACAAAAGACTGTACTCTTAACAAAAGACCAGGCTGCTGGGCATTACCAACAGTTTTTCACTCTCAAAAGTGGAGATAATCCAGCCTTGTTTTGAAACAGTATATCACGGTTTGGGCATTCAGCGTGAGCGGATTACCACCGGGGACAAAAGCGCTCCACCACCGCAGCGATGAACCACACAGTACCGCTGCACGCTAATCTGGCCCCCATTGAAAAGAGGTCAGCAGCGCACTGTGCGTGAACAAAAGAAAATTATGTAAAACCGCAAAATCTGGGCTCTTTTTACAAGGCAGCAGGCCTAGCTTAAATACTCCAGTGTCAATAGATGTTGTCTGTCAGATTAGAGTAGAAACCAGAAGTCCTTTGTGTGGGTGTAAGTGTCCAGGAAATGAAGATATGAATTTTTAAAGAATTTTGAAAACAGAAAAAAATGACAATTATCCCATCCCGGCATCATCAACATTGATAAATACCACTGGCGCGAAGTGGTTAATGGCTGATGTCTGATGGTCTCACAAATGGCCCCCTACTTTGAAAATCGTTCCGCCACCACTGGCTGTGGCAAGGTTTTTGACAATCACTGTAAAGTTAGCATTTGGCAACTAAAGTTTTTTTAAATAATGAGTAGGTAAAGGAAGTATCACTAGTGACTACAATGTACTTCACTGTTGGGATTTTGATGGCTATTCCCATTATCCTTGTCATTAAACACGCATTAACCTATTGCGATCACAATCAATAACTGTGATCAAAATGAGACATTCTTTCAATGCAATCAGTCAATGATTGCTGTCTAAAAAAGTGTAGAGCTCTCTGCAAGGGACACGATAAACTGCAAGTTGTAGGTCAAACAGGCAATCAGAACATACACAATGTGTGAGCAGGCTCATACTTGCAAATGCTCCAAGACAGTTTACTGTAAGAGGTCTCAAGCAAGAAAGAGTCAAAGAGTCAGCTCAGTGGTCTCAGATCAATCTCCAACAGGTCTCGGGCAAAGTGTAGTCAAGCAGACAGATAGTGAAGAGCAATCAGAAAAATTACATTGTTCTAGGGAAACATACAACGGGGTGTTTGCTGAAAACAAGAAATGGAGAGATTTAACGCAGAAAAAAACAAAAAAGTAAGCAAAATCATGGCACTTGGAAAATGTATCTCTGGAAACAGGTGGGTGGCCTCTGGCAACAGACAAGCAATCTCAGGTAACTCTTAGCACATCTCAACTGATGAGGCACATGCATAAAGTGGTCTGAAAGACGCAGTAATGTACATGTAGTCATAGAAAATTACTAACAATATCTAAATTCAGTTTTAAGACAACCCATGAATTGTGGCCAATGAGCAAATTTTATAATTAAATATTACAGCATCTAATGACAACAGACACACAAAATGGCCCGATCAAGCCATTCAATTCCTGATTATATTAACTTTCTATAAATTAACGTTTCTTCCTTGACAAAAGATGAGCTTGCATTAATAGCAAACAGAAAAATGTTCCTTCTACAGAGGTGTACTTCATCTGCAAGATGCAATCATAAAACCAAGTGAAAAAAACAGAACATTCACATAATAAAGGTTTTTCCTCAACTGTTTCTAATAAACTGACTCCCAAATTAAAATCAAAGAGTGAATTCCCTGCCTCAGTATTATTAAGGCTGGTAACGTAACTTTAAATGCCACGGGACAAACTTATTCACAGAAAAAAGAATTTTCAAATGCACGAAAAATGCATAAACTTTTTTCAACTCTCAGGCCTATGAAGTGTTTCAGAAGTGAAAAAAATGGTTTGCTACATGTATGGAGGTAAAAATTAATCCGAAGTTCAATTAATACCAATATGTCTGTCATTAATTAGTATGTTATCGGCACAAACAAGAACTACTCTCAAGCTTTCATCAGTTACCTGCAACTTTATACTAGGGATTAAACTATTGGGACTCTTTTAAGGAAGCCGTAGAAAAAATTTCATTAATGAAAAATTTAATTATTGAACATATTCATTAGCTTGATTAACAAAGGCTCAATAAATATGTGACACTTTCCGTTTTGGTTTCAAACTGTCCCCCCCCCTGAAAAAAAGTAGATATGAGAATCCCTTTAAAGCTTTCGCATGCTGGCAGACTATTGTCTCGATCAACAATAAATGGGGCCAGGGTCAGCATATAGCCACAAAGCAATTTTCTACAAGCCTCCAAATGCAGCCTTTGTGTTCCAGTTGACTACCTTTGACGTCATCATGGAGGGGAAGAGAAACTCAATGTTTCACTGCCTGCAAGAAAAAAATAAACCTGCTGAAGGTTTTTAAGAGTTTGCTTGTCTGAAATTTATTTTCTCTGGCGATTCAATGTTATGAAAGTGCACAGCAAATCAAGCATGTAACCCCAGGATTGCTTTAAGTGAGTAAATTCTGGTTTCACAATTTGAACAGAAAAACCAGACCATGTCTCCCCTGGATGAAATCACTACAACGGCAGCCTTACTTCATCGTCCAGGAAATCATTGGCAATTTTTCAGTGTTTTTAAAAAGTATATTTTTCAAATTGAGATGTTAAACAATTTTCAGATATTGAAGAAAAGTATGGCAACAGAAATACTGCGTCATAGAAAAATCCACTGCAGCTACACGTTAAAGGTCTTAAATGACAACATGGTGTTATGTGCAGGCCAAGGGTCATTTTAGCAAACACTGCACGGAACCTGATGAACTTGTGACTGCAAGCAAGTGCATGTACACGTATACATAAAAAGACATCCATGCAGTCTATGTTGTGTACATACAATGTAGGTGCATGACGCAGTGTCGTACGAGTCATTGCTTTTTGCACATTACGTTCAGGACAGGTTGGAAAACCCACTCCAGAGTATCATCAACAGGAGAACACCCTCAGGATTTGTATGTACATGTAGATGGAACACGACATTGAATTAATTTCCTCTGTTTAGTGCATGCTAATCCAGCGAGGCACTGCTTTAGACGACCTCTATGATCCACTAATGCAGTGGTGTCAAATACCATAAATCGGTTTCTGCATTGGTGTGTGGGTGAGTATACATTCATGACTGTATAGTGTTGATGAATCTGGAAATTCCACATGGCGCCATTTTGGTCTTTCCGCATCTCCTCCAGTGACATACATGCAGAGCATTTTTCTGGTTCTAAGTGGCAAATTCTGGTCTTAGTTTCCCAAAATTTATGATTGACAATGTGAAAAGGACCTCTCCTGTTCAAAACATTAAGAATTCACTCTCTTGTGTAAAATGTGGCCAGGGAAAGTGTGGTCTGCAGACTGTGGTTTACACACAACCAAAGACTCGTACAAATGTGCAAAAGGTATTAAAAGGAAGCACAAATGAAATATTTTCTATATCTGTGACATTTATGATATTTAACATTCTTCTTAAAATTTTCTAACATTCTCCTGAATAAAAATAACCAGTGCATAAAACTGGGCATCGACATGAGATTTCTTTTCCCCGGGGAAACTGCCAATTATTGCCTTGTATGGGGCGGGGAGACAAGGCAATAATTGGCAGTTAATGAGACTGACAACAATATTAATGGTGGGAAAGCCAAATCTGAGGTACATGTACTTTGGCAAATCTGGTCATTTACTTTCCTCTTTTCTTTTTGCTTTGCTTTTTCTTTCCCTTTTTTTAAATTCCTTTTTTTTAGGAGGGGGGAGAAACAAATATACAGTTTATTAGTGAACATGATCTGCCAAACCTTCTTTCTTCGGTATTTTCTGACGTATGTGTATGGAATGACCGAAAAAAAAATACATGTAATTACACAAATAATGTAAAACGTCACTTAAAGCAAAACAGCAGCTGTACGAAAAAAGGGAAAATCTCATAAATTGGAGAGTTCTATTGACAGTATTAGAAGAAATGATGCAAAATTCTTATTAATTCATTTAGCTGGTAGTTCCCAATGTGCACATGTCATATCGCATCTGGAGAAGGGAGAACGTCCATGTAAAATATTTGCAATATAATTTGTCAGGAGATATATGATGAAAAAGGGAAGTATGGTAGCAGTCCTCATAAAAATGAATGACTCCAACTTAAAATGTGTCAAAATAACATGATCTGTTCTTCTCAAAGACTGTGTATTTTTCTCAAAAATAACCCTGACTGGAAGTAATGCGTATATCTTACTGTATTCATTTAGCACTCAATATTCTTCTTTAAAAGCAGGCATGCAAATTAAACTTTGACAAAAATGAGGAAATTCCAATCCTCAGGGTTTGCAAGACAGTGTACAGTGTTTTTTAATTTTCAATGGCACGAGTGTGCAGTGAAAAATGAGGAAATCAGCTGATCAGAGGAAAAGTCGCATGACTGCAAAAGGGAAAGCTTTCATGTTAAAACCAGGACACTTAATTAATTTAAACTGTCACAAAGTCAGGAACAAAGCTTAATTAGCTCTGAAATGAATTACATGTAAACAATTGAAGAAATGATGCATGTGCAATTGAAAACAATGGACTAGTATGTTCTGCAATAGCATTCTGTCATTTATTTTGCCTGTCTCCAAACGAGGAAACTGTTTACAGTAACTGGAAAATTTGGATATTTGGGGACTGCTGTGTGGCACGTATTACTTTGGAAAGTAATTCAATCAGATACATGTGTCACTGTGAAAATCTTAGCAACAATTTTTGGCAGAATATGAGAAAAATGCTGTAATGCTTCCACACTGGATATTTCCTAGTTAATATTGCAAAATTCAATTTCTCTTTATCTTCTTTTCATGAAGCATTAGGCCTATACACATGTACACATACACTGTACGGTAGAATGTCTCCATTCTTCTTTATAAACAGATCAAGTTGCCATCAGGTGTTTCAATCATGGCATCAGCTCAGTCAGAGGATGACGGTTTAATATGCAGCATCTGCTTGGATTATTTTAGACAGCCCAAAGTGCTTGACTGCCTACATAGTTTTTGCCTGGAATGCCTTCGACAGCTCAAACAAAAGGAAGGTCTGACAGGAGAAAGAATTGTGTGTCCTCTCTGCCGAGGTCACACCACATTACATGAATGGAACGTGGATGAGCTACCGGATAATCAGGCCTTGAGTGCACAGGTGAAAAAGAGGCAGAGCTGGCAAGGTCAAAGGTCGGCAGTCAGCTGCCAGAACTGTGACGAGGGCAATCAGGCCATTTCAAAATGCATCGACTGCGACAGTTTTCTCTGCCAGGAATGCCACAAGGCCCATGGGCGTATGGCTGTAATGAGGACTCATGAAGTCTGCATGCTGGGCTCATCTACAGCAGACCAGACCAGACAAGCTGTCATTCCAACCTGCCAGGAGCATCAAGGGCAGCAAATGTCCAACTTCTGCTCTACATTTATGCAGCTAGTGTGCACATCATGCCACAGTTATAAGAACCATCCTACTGTATGTGTAGAGGCTGTTTTAGATGAATACAAGAAACAGGCCACAAAACTGAATGCACAGGGTGACAAGACGATGGCAGAGATTAAATTAGCAATGCTGGAGGCAGACGAGCTACAAAAAAAACTGGATGACATGTTTGAAAAAACAACTACAAAAATCACCCAAAAGGCAGATAGGGAGGTTGCCAAGATCAGAGCAGAAGAGAAAAAACTAAAGCAAGAGGCACAGAGGATATACAAGGACAGAGTCAAGACCTTCGAAGCGGCTCGTACGGCAAATCAAACAGAAGCAGCCCTGGTAGAGCAAATGCAATGTACACTCAGGCACCAAGCCTGTCATACAAATCGCTACACCCCTCCCGATCTTGAGAAATTCATCTGCAGCATTTTTACACTGCAGAATAAGAAGCCAAAGGGAGTGCCTGACAGATTGTCCTTCCTGGACTTCACAGAGGGAGGATTCTTTGGAAGATTGGTGCTGGATGACAAACTGCCACAGGAAATACCAGCCAGTGAAGCTACAAACTCACAGTATAAGTCACTTGAAAAAGAGAAGTGGCAGCTATGGAATGAAGAAATAAACACATTTTCCAGAAAATCATCAAATGGGAAAGAAAGATGTGTCGTACAAATTGATCATGCAGTATGTATAGCAGCATTCTCCAACAACAAACTGGTCACAATTACCTTTAGCATATTTGAAGGTTGGACTCAGTGGCACCTGATCTCATTTAAATCTGCATTTGGTAAATACATGCCGCAATGGGAATTCACATCAGAGTTTGTGGTAAAGGTTGGCAGCTTTAACAGTAAAATAAAACATATTTTAGTTAACAAAGATGACCAGGCTATTATCTTAATAAATAACGCTGTAAAAATACTAAGTAAGGATTACAAGACACTCCACATGTTTGAATCGACAGTAAGAGGCACAGCAACATGCCTTGCCACAGATGACGCCAGTCTGATAGCTGTGGGCTGTGAAGATACTCAAGAGGTATCGCTACATTCCACGAGTGGATCTCTCTTCAAGAGACTGCGTGCACCCATGATCGGGAATTACTTAACCATCCACAAGAAACAGCTGATATACACCAACTGGGCAAAGAGGAAGTTGCTTGCAATCAACGACAATGGTGACAGTATTTTCTCTACAGACGTCACGAGCCCTGAAGAACGGTGGGGCCCTACCGGTGTGTGCTGCAGCAAGAATGGCAGCATTTACGTTGCTGTGTGCGGGGAATGGCCTTCCGCGGGCCAAATTCAGCAGTACAGCCCTGAGGGCGTGTTTGTGGGTTGCATTATTGAGCGATGCTGCACCGTGTATGGCATGACACTGTTGGATGATGATAAAAAGCTGGCGGTGGCTGCAAAAACGGCTGTGAAGATCTTCCGACGAGTAAAAAGAAGATACAGTATGCCAGAGTGAGGGTTAGTTCAACATAGTTGATCATTCTGCATGAATGCAATAGACCTGTAATGTGATGTCACGCTCTTTCCAATGGCAGTGAGATGTGGTGGGATTTTGTAAGTCTCTATGGAAACAACACACTTTGACATTATTACATTTTAACTTTTAGGTTGCTTGGAGATACCTATGTGATCCATCCTGCCAAAAGGTGTTATGTTGCAAAAATGATCATGAGTTACACACGCGGCTTGAAAGCCCACAGTGTAGCCTTTCATTTGGTACCGCTATATATAACAGAGCTTAATTGTTCATTCCAGTCCAAAGCAGCGGCACGGGAGGGGGGCACAAAGGGGATACCAGCATTTTGGGGGGGGGTCACCAGGTTTCAGTGGTGTAATTTCTTAAGGGCAAATTTTTGTTACCCTTATTCAATATCCATTCATCTGTTTTATTTTCAGAGGGGGGCACCTGGGGGGCACCAGGAATTTGTGGGGGGGCACAAATCCCCCAGGCCCCCCATGGCTACACCACTGTTCCAAAGACATGTTTTGTTTTTTGTTTTTGTTTTTTTTTAAATTAGTTCTATGGAGTCTAACTTCAGCCAACTGAGAAAACAGGCTTTGAAAAAGTACACACAGGGTGTAATACAGACTAGGGCTTGGAGGACTCACTTGAAATGCTTCCTTCAAACATTGTTTTCATAAAACTGACAGTTTAGTGATCAAAGATGTTTCAGTACATGTATTTCTGACGAAGTAACAAAACTTGGAATCCACAAGAAATTTCATCTTCTCAACTTTGAGCAGCCCATTTCACAATAGTAGCAAAACTTATATCACCCTTTTATATTTTTTTAAAATTTATTTGCATATCAAGTCCACAATCCAGGCTGCATATATGAAAAAAATACCCTCAAAAATCCTGTGAATTTATGCATGGGTTAGAAACAAGGGCATATTAATTCATAATGTTGGTTAAGGCTAGTTGCCTATGCTGTTATTCTGTTGGCCGTCTCTCCTTGTGATGCACTACAGTGGCATCGAGTACATGAGTTTAAATCACCCAAGAGGGCTTTTACATCTGTGATCCTTTTCTACGGCAATGCAGTTACAAGCGTACTGGAAGTACTACATGTATATGCTTTGATAACACTCCTTTGACCATGTTGACCAAGAACAAAATCCCCATTCCTCCGACAAGGTCTCAAGTGCTTTCTATCACTCCCATGTGATAAATTACAGAGTTGTTTTCTCACCTGGGCAATAAACGGTGTCGTGATGGCTCCTATCCGCGCGGCTGAGCTGCATGACCCAAGACCTATTGCACGGACGTGGGTGGGATATACCTGCCAAAATATGAGGTACAACATTACATAAACAATCAGCATTCACTGGATCATCAGTCGACACAACACTTGGCTGGCCCACCCCATGATGATCAAACATGTGGAAGTATCAACATTTTGGAACAATATACTTGGGCAGTTTGTATGGATATTATCAGTCGCACACAGGTACTCGTATCTATCTGCGGGGTAAAAGGATTGAGAGGTACGTTGCTTCTAATTCTGCGCAAAAGGAAAGGCAGAGTAATATAGCGAAGGCTGTACCCATTTTTCATTTGACTGGAATTAAAGAGTCCTATTAGGTACCAAATTCTAGCAAAGATCTGAACTGACTGACAGTTGAAACTAGGATAACTTCATGTAGGAACTCAAAAGATATTCAGATGACTCATGACAGCTTTAATGTACATGTGTATGCAATCAAAAGGTCCATATCAAAGTTCCTGAAGAGTGCTGGCACAAGGGTTTCATGATCACGAGGGCCTTCCCACAAGTACGATAATCCTTTACCCAGAATTGTCCACGGATGCTGATAGAATGACTACAGATATCAACTTCAGACTAGAATCCAGATGCGCTCACCTCTGGTGTGTAGACATAGAGAGATTGGAATGCACCAGAAATAAGAGCTCGTGCCGCAAACAAAATGACCGTCAAGCCTGTCCTGTGCAAATTGTAACATAAATGTACAATAAATATTAAACAAATTACTCAGATTTTTAAAGTTTAAATAAATACACATTTAGAGCTTAATTTGTGTAAGGTATCAGGTTTTGTAATTAATGTACAAATGAAATAAGACGAATGTCAGAGATTTCTCCATTACAAGTGATAGAACTTTGAGAGGAAGCAGCTTCCATAATCAAAATCCTGAACTGGTGTTTGAATCTGATTATATTTCCAAATTGTTTTATTTGTTGAATTATTTGGTTTACGTGCATTTTTCAACTATTTCCTTTCATGTAACCTCCCTATATTTCCAGCTTGTAATGGTACTGCATAATCTCTACCGTAGAATTACATATTAAATAAATGATTAATCTGCAAGTAGTCACATTTTGAATTATAAGAAAGGTAGTACATATTAATTAATGACCATTATCTGACTACAAATCTTCATCACATGCTCAAGCCAGCAAATGGTGGACAGGACCAGTTCACTCCTATACTAGTCTTCAGGCTTGGGCGTTGGATGAAATTATTGGATATGATGGTTTTACAATCATCAT